CCTGATCTAATTTCTCCTGTTAAATATATATGGGTCAGAAGCCTACATCCAAAAGTGTTTATTTTGTATTATAAAAGATTGTCCCTGTAATTGTTAATAAGATTGAATTATTAATGTAAGTAAAGTGCTCACTCAGCATGTAGTAAGTACTATATAAATGATAGCTATTATTACTATTAATTATTATCACTAATAGACTATTGAAAGTTTAGTCTGTGTCAGGTATCACACTCTATGCTTTGTATGTATTGTCATTTAATCTTTTTGTTAGTCCTATTATCCTCATTTTTCTGATGAAGTAACTGAGGCCTACGAGGTGGGTGTGTTGGATCCCACACCCCTGCAGCTCACTCTGGAGTGTTTCTACTCTTCTTCCCACAGAAGGATTTACTCCTCAGTGAAATTCCAAGCAGCATCACCTCACTCTGCTCTGGGAAGATGGAGGTGGAGAAAGTGATGGCCAAGGAGATCTGCCAGAAATATCTGGAGAAGAGAGCTGGGAGGCTGCCGGAGGACTGCGCCGAGGCCTTGGCCACGGCCGCCTGCCTCTGCCTGCGGAGGCGGAACGCCAGCTTGGTGGAGGTGAGCCTGACTGTCGGCCTTTCCCCTGCGATGAGCCCTTTCTTGGGTCAGCTGGGCCTCACTTCCAAGGGCTGCATAGGTCTGCTTTACCAGGGACCAGGTTAAGACTTGGGATCAATCCTGTCACCGAGATGTGATCTCAAACCCGGGACATATTTGTTTTCAAGTAGCAGAATGTGTTAGAGCCTACATCAGCAAAACAGGGCAATATATGGATAAGGGTGTCTCAGGAGCCTGAAGACAGTGTGCTGCTAGCCTCAGAGGTCTAGGACCATACCCTCAGATGGTAACAGAACTCTGCTTTCTCTAAATCTGCCTTATTCCTCCTTCTCTCTGTAAGTCCCCTTTTTCTTTTCTTTGATCTTCTTGGTTAGGGGATGTGGCCATATTTATTTATATGCTATAGTTCTACCTGCACCAAGAGATCAAGTCTCCAGGTCCCAATTCCAACATCTCAGTGAGAGAACTTGACTGGCCTAGCTAGGGTCAGGTGTCCACCCGTTGGCCAATCAGTAAAATGAGGGGGTTGGGGTCCAGTGTATAAACCTGACAGTCAGGGGTCAACTCCCAAAGGTAGAAGGTCCAGGTCCTAGAGAAAAGGAACATCCTTAGCCTAAGGGCTAGGCAGATACCCCAGAAATAAGCCACGACAGGGAATAAAACATTTTCCTATGAACAGATATGTAGAGGTGATTTTCATGGTAACAAGTAGACATTTGGGGACCACTACTAGGTCTTTCTAAGAACAAAATTACTTCCGAGAGGACTTGGACTCTTAGAGATCATGTAGCTAAGTGATTTTCAAGTAGTATCTGGCAGAGAGGGGCTCCTTGAAAGTACCTCAGGAGTTGCTTTTGGTAGCAAGAGGGCTGTGGGGAGCAAAAGGCCCCACTTATGACTTCCATTTTAACTTCTCATAATTATATTGGGTTCTCATTATTTTATTTGAGGAAAGGGTTTAGTAGCTGAAAAAAAAAAAATCTTCAAATACTACTGCTGTAGCCCAAGATTCCCGTTTTATAGATGGGGCTGTAAAGGTCCAGAGAGGAGAAGATGAAGCCACAGAATGAGTTTTGTCAGAGCTCTCTGGATTCCTAGTTCAGCTCTATGTCTATCATCTTGCATCATGACCAGGCAGGAGCTAGAGACTCAAGTCACTTTTCTAGGCCTAGGCTATTTTCTTATGTCCAAGTGCTATGGTGTTCAGTCATTCATTCAGCATTTGTGTGCTGGGCCCAGGAGAAAAATCTGTGAAAAAGGCAGGCCAGTTCCACTTTCCTGGAGCTCACAGACATTGCGCAGTAATTGACTGTGTGGTGAGCACTGAGATAGTGTATGACAGGGGCCCTACCCAGGAGGACTTCCCTGAGGAAGTGATGTGTATGCTAATAAAGAGCTGTCCAAGCAGAAAGAACAGCTCATGCAAATGTCCTGAGTTGAGAGAGAGCATGACATGGTCAAGGGCCTGGAAGAAGGTCAGAGTGACTGGAACACAAAGTACATGGGGCAAAGTGGCTTATGATGAGGCCGTGAGGATGGAGAAGCCCAATAATAGAAATCACGTGGGGCAGTCAGGATTTTGAGGAAGTCAGTAGGGATTTTAAGCAGGGGCAGGACATAATCAGATTTATGTTCTGAAAAGACTTTCTCCCTCAACCATTCATTCAGGCATGCATCCCTTCAATCATTTCATTCTTTCATTCAGTGTATCAGTTAAATTACTCACAAAGAAGCTGCTATAATGAAGAGACTCCAAAACACTGTGATTTAAACAAAATAGAATATAATTTTCTTTAGCTTCACAGTTTGAATATAGGCAGTCCAGAGCTGATGTGGCAGTGCCACAGTATCAGAGACCCAGGCTCCTATATTATTGCTCTGCTGTCTGTACCATGTGGCTTCTATTTCAGAGTCCAAGATGGCTGCTCTAGCTCAGGTCATCACATCTGCATGCCAGCCACTGAAAGGAGGTTAAAAGGAAGAGGAGAACATACCCCCTTCCTTTTAAAGTTGTGACCTGGAAATGCACACATCACTTTTTCTCACACCCTATAGACCAGAACCTAGTTACATGGCCACATAGCTATAAGGGAATATTGTTTTTAGCTTGGCAAATGTTTATCGGCCATAAACTGTGAAGATTTATCTCAAGAGGTGATGTTTGAACTGGGCCTTGAAAGTTGAGGAGGCGTTTGCTAGGTAGAGAAAGGGGATAGAACACTTAAGGTATATAGAGAGGAATGAGGAATGGTCCTTGCCTTTAGTATCTCACAACCAAGCTAGGTATGTGAGGTCAACTGAGTCATGGACTTTAAGACAAACAGGACTGAGTTCAGTGGTCAGCTCTGCCATTCACTAGCTGGGTGGCCTTAGGCAAGAAACTTAACCTCTTCAATCTTTTAATTTTTTTATCTATAAGAACTCATTGTGGATCATGTGTCAGTGTGCTTTGTAAATTGCAAGGCACCAAACAAATGATTTGTTGTTATTATTCAGAGTATATATGTATTACACCCGTTGTACCATTTTGTGTGTGTGCGTGCGCACACGTGGGCACGTATGTAAAGAAGAAATATTTCTTCTCTGCCTTCCTCTAATTTCTCTAACCTCCCTAACCAGAATAAAAAGCCCTCAGTGGCAATATCCATATTATTTAGGGCATTTCTAGTTGAAAGTGGTAGAAATTCAACTCAAACTCTTAGATATACAGAGAGAGAGAGAGCGCAAGAGCGAACGCAAGAGCAAGCGAGAGTGAGAGCAAGAGAGTGAGAGAGAAAATGAGAAAGACAGAGAGAGATAGGGATGGGGGAGAATATCAGTGAGTGGATGAATGAATGAATGAATGAATGACTTTATTGGCTCATTTAACCAAACAGCAGACAGGATAGGCATTGCTAGAGCAGCTTGACCCAAGTTCTCAACCAGCAAAGGTGCCTCTGGCTCGCTCTGTCCATCTCTTGCCTCTGCTTTACTCTGTGTTGGGGCTTCATTTTTACCACCTGTAAATGGGTTTTCTGTGTGTGGTGAGGAGTCTGGCTCTGCCGATAGAAAGGAAAGGGAAATCTTTCCTCATAAACTTTAGGTAGAAAAATCCCAGAGAAGGATTTTGATTGGCCTGCTTGGGTCATGTGCCCAAACCTGAACCAAACATTAAGATCAGAGGTATGCGATAGTATGATTGGTTCGTCTTGGTCATGTGCTGTCATTTGTGGCTAAGGCGGATTGGGAAGTTTAGTTCTTTTCAAAGGAAGGATGCTGTTCTTCCAGACAAAGCAACAAGCATTTGATTCTTCTGTGTCTGTCTCTCCGGAGGCTTGAGAGACCTGTTAGATTTTTGATTACAGAAAGAATTCTTGGTAAGTGCTCTTGTTTCTCTCATCCACAAGGTGTGTGGCTCTGTGGCCATTGTGGAAGAGTGGCTCAGAGGTCAAGAGACGTCGCTTCCTTGGAGTGGGCTTTCCGAGGGCACAGGCTCTTCCTCCAACACTCCAGAAGAAACGGATGATGTGGACAATTCCAGCCTCTATGTTTCTTCCTCCGTGAGGGCAGCACCCTGGTGTGGGGCTGCTGCTTCGCCTGCTCCCACAGAGGATAAAGGCAGGATGCAGGCTGATTCCTCCTCTGAGGCCTGCGCCAGTCCAGAGCCTCCCCAGGATGGTAAGTGTGTGGAGGTCTGAATGCATATACACACTCGTTTTTGTGTCCCTAACTCAGCCCATCATTTATTCCTTCTATCTCCTTCATTCATTTAGTTATTCAGCCATTCACCTACCAGCCAACTGCACAAAGAAAAGCCTGAGGGAATCATCCCTGACAGCTCCCTCCCTCTGGCCCCGCTGTGTCCATTCCATCACTCAGCCCTATTTATTGACCTAAATATCTTTCAGCTCTATCTGCTTCTCTCCATCGCCCCCACCTCCCCACCTCATCTAAGCTACTATCCTCTTGCCGGATGACTGCATAGCCTCCCTTTGTCCTCCCTGATCCACTCTGGCCTTTCATTAGTCCTTTCTCCAGGGGCCAACCAGAGTGGTTTTTAAAAACAACTCATGTCACCCCTCACTTAAAGCTTATGTGTGGCTCCCCATCAAACTTACGGACCAAGTCAAAATTCTTCCTCTGGACCAGCAAGGCCCTGTGTGGTTTCTCCCTGCCTGCCTCTCCATCCTCACTTCACAACACAAACCCCCTCTTGCTTCTAAAGATACCTTCTATCTCTGCCTCTCAGGTTCGAATATACCAGGTTTCCTTCTGAAATAAAAATTTGGAAGGCCTTTTCAATCCACTGTCCTTGTCCCTTAGCAAATGTGGTTCAATAACTGTCTCAAGCGCTGACCACTCCTATTGTTCCTCTTTCCATGCGGAAGAGAGAGGAAGAAGAACAAGAGGGTGTTAAGTGTTCACTCTATTCCCTGCATCCATGAGGAGGAGCATGGAAGCCCTCTCCTCTCTGAAAGGCGGGGGCAGATGGCAGAGCTTCCCTGCAAAGGCAGAAGGTGATGAAAATGCTCATTATACTCAGTGGCTGATTCAGAAACCTGATATAAGTGAGAAACTCTAACCAAGTCTGACTTTCTAAGAATTATAATAGTACCTATTTCCAGATGCCTTTTGTTCAAATGGCTTTTTTTTTTTTAATTTATTTTTCATTGAATGTCAACTACAGAGACTTCGTGGAAAATTGAAATTAATGAGGCCAAAAGGAAACTGATGGAGAATATCCTGCTCTACAAAGAGGAGAAACTAGACAGCGTTGAGCTTTTTGGCCCCTGATGACCAAAACACAGCTGAGGACCCTTGTCCTCAATTGGAAAGACAACTGTCAAATCAAGAAAAAGTCTGAGGTAGAATCCAAGATCTCCCAGGAAACACAAGCCAAACATCAGCTTTCCTGAGGGGGTGAGAAGAGAAACTTATATATTCCAGAGTAAGTCAAGGGAGAAGAGACTTCAGCTTTTAGAGACACCAAAATCCATGAAGTTCTCTTCTTTTCTGGGATTTGTTAGTCATAGCTGGGTATCACAAGACTGAAGCAGAAACCCTGGTACACAGGCCCAGGATGTGGGCAATTTCGTGGTTCCGGGGAGAGTGACGTTAACCACCCCAACAGATGTCATTGCCCTGTTCTCACCCCTCTACAAGTGACAGCATTCTGAACACCAAAGTTAAGATCTCTGGGTCATATTTGCCAACTGCCTGCAAGCTTCCATGACCTGAAAGATTTTCACCTTGTGTCCCAGTGTAGTTCTTGACTCACTTCTCAAGGTCTCAAGTTTTATAATGCCAGACACTGGCAAAAAGACTGTAGGTTTTCTGTTTTCTCTATCGGAAATCTTGCAACCCACAGATATTTATTTATACCTTTATCCTCCCATCCCACTAATGCTATTATTTTTAATGGAGCTTTTATTTTGAGAATATGCATTATTTATGGCTGGATGAAGAATCAGGAGAACTGGTTTTACTTCTGATTCTGCTGCTAATTCAGTCAGTCATTTAATTTTTGGAACCTCAGTTTCCTTGTAAGTAACACCTGTTCATTCTCCCTCTCTGGGCTGTTGAGAATAGGTGAGACATGGTTACAGAAGTACTGTATTTTGAAAGTACACTTGTCCTGTTATAATAAATTAAATGGATGTTAAACATATATTTCTGCTATGTACCTAATGTTTATGCAGTGGGTATATCTCTGAAAAGTCATATTGCAGATCTTTTTGTGAAACATGCTATTTTAAATTTTGTGCCCTATTTTAAATAATTGTACTATAGTGATTTTTTCTTTTTTGTAAAATAAAATACATTGATAAAGTCAACAGATGTCTTGTAATTAGTTTTGTGTCCAGATGAATTTGTTTGGAGAAGTTGTTCTGCATCCATGAGTGGGGTATTATGGGGTGGCTAAGAAGTTGGGCGCTGGCTGTAAATGCTGGCAATTTATAGCTGCGTGATCTTGGGCCAAGTTAGGGAGTTACTCTGAGCCTCTGTTTTTTTATACAATGGGGAAAATAAAAAGTACCTGTTACATAGGTTTGTTGTCATGGCAAGAGGAGATCCTGCCTGCTGTAAGCATTCAACAGCCACCCCCAGCAATGTCAGCTTTGTACTGATATGTAACAAAGCCAGGTGGGCTCCAGCCCAGGTGGACAGTGTACTGACACTCATGTCTTCAACTCTGGTGGCTTTGAGGGTTCAACTAAAGTGTATCATGTGTCCCAAGTGGAACCTGGCATTTGGTAAGCACCTTACAATTATGAGTAGTGTGTTTCTAGGGGCATCTGAGTAATAGAGGGCAGATGCTAATAGGGTACTGGCATATTTGCATTTCCAGACTAGGGTTTCTTACATTTCTGGAGAGATTAACTGGGAATCTGATGAAAGCTACAGACCTCCCCTCGGCAAGCTGTAAATACATACATATACAACTTCATATATGAATTTCAGGGGTTCACGGGCACCACAATGCCTTTCCATGAATCCCCAGAGGGACAGATGGCCTGACTTTTTTTAAGTTAATGGTTGCACGTGACTGAAAAATCCAACAGTACAAATGATTACATGGTGGAAAAGAAGCCTTTTAACCACTTGGAACTTAGTCTCTCATTTCTTCTCCCCAGAGGCAACTGCCTTTACTAATTTGGGGTATTCTTCCAGAGATGATAAAAAATTTCGTTGCTCAACTTTGTCATTGTGTAACAAGCTGAGTCAGCTCTGACTCCTGGCGACTCTATGAATGAGTGAGGTCCACAATGTCCCGTCCTCAACATCCCTGCTCAGCTCTTGTAGACTCATGCCTGTAACTTCTTTTATGGAGTCAGTCCATCTCATAGTTGGTCTTCCTCTTTTCCTGCTGCCCTCTATTTTTCCAAGCATTATTGTCTTTTCCAAAGAACCCTGCCTTTTCATAATGTGGCCAAAGTAAAACAGCTTCAGTTTTGTCATCTTTGTCATGAATGTTATTTCAGTCTCGATTTGCTTTGGGACCCACATGTTTGTCTTTCTGGTGGTCCAGATATGTGTAATGCGCTCCTCCAATACCATATTTCAAATGAATCATTTTTTTCCTGTTAGCCTTCTTTACCATCCAACTTACTATATATAGTAATTGAGAATATGAGGGTATGGATGATCTTAGCCTTGGTCTCTAATGATACAGTTTTGCTCTGAGTGATCTTTCCTAATTCTTCTATTGCTGCCCTTCTGACTCTAGGCCTTCTCTTGATTTCTTGACTGCAGTCTCCGTATGAATTGAGGACCAAACCAAAGTAAGCAATAGTCATTAGGGAAATGTAAATCAAAACCACAATGAAATACCACTTTGTACCTGCTCAGATGGCTAGAATAAAAAAGATAAGTGTTGGTAAGGATGTGAAGAAACTGGAATCTTCCTAGTTTGGTGGTGGGATTGTAAAATGATGAGCTGCTTTGGAAAAATAGTTTGGCAGTTCCTTAAAAGGTTAAACATAGTTTCCATACGATCCAGCAATTCCACTGGTAGATATCTACCTAAGAGAAATGAAAACATATATCCTTACAAAAACTTGTGCACCACTGTTCATAGTAGTAATATTCAGAATAGCCAAAAAGTAGAAAAACCCAAATGTCTATCAGCAGATGAATGAACAGAATGTGGTATATCCTTACATTGGAGTATTATTCATATACTTTAATTAAAAATTATCCATAAAAAGGAATGAAGTACTGATATATGTTACAATATGGATGAACCATGAAAAAATTTTGCAAAGTAAAAGAAACCAATTACATATATTATGATTACGTTGTTATGAAATGTTCAGAACAGGCAAATCTACAGAGGCAGAAATTAGGAGTGTGTGTATGTGTGTGGGGGGGCGTGTTGAAGGGGAGTGGTAATGGTCACAAGATTTGGGGATGATGAAAATCTTCTAATATTAGATTATGGTTATAGTAATGGTTGCACAACCCTAAATATACTAAAAACAGTTATATACTAAAAACCATTTGTATACTAAAAAAAATTGAACTATATATGAGTGAACTTTATGGTATGTAAATTATCTCAGTAAAACTCTTAGAAACAAATACACAATGATTATTCTCGGACATTTAAAAATACTTTTAGGCTCCACTTATTATTTTTGCTATGTACATTTAATTCATTGTTCTACATCCTATGCTATTTCATGCCTTACTTGGCCATTCTTTCTCAACAGTACTTTTGGATCACTTCATTCTTTTTGCCTGATATCCCGTTGTATGGGTGTATATTCTGTAGTTTATATAACTAGCTTAAAAAATGTCCATCAGTGACATATAGGAATGCATTTCCCCACATCCTCAGCTGCAAAGAATATTATGCTTTTTCGATCCTTCACTCTAATGGGTGAAAACAATTTTATTTGTACTTTTTAAATAACAGGTGGAGCCATTTTTTAATATATTAAAGAGCTTTCGTAATTTGTTTCTGTTCATTGGTTCGTCTTCTTTGTCCATTTTAATTATCGGGAGAGTTTTTACATAGTAAGGCCATCAGCCCTTTGCCATGTGTTGCAAATATTTTTCTAAGTTTGTACCTGTCTCTTGACTTTCATTTTTTGCTCGGAGGATATTTTACATTTTTTTGTAGTCTTTTCTTTCGTGGCTTCTAAAATCTAATTCCAATTCTATTACCACTTTCTGGGTGTGTCACCTGGTTTTCTGCTCTGTATATGGTGTGGGTTCGATGAACGAATCCAGATCTGAAATGTCCAACTAAGGATGGCGATGCTGAGCAGCAGGGAGCCATACTCCAGCACCCCGGTCCACGGACGCCCCCTACACGCAGAAAAGGGCCTGCCTGAGGAACTGTAGCCTTGCCTCAACTTCGCGCTCTTGGGACCCATGTGAGTGGCTCCGCTCTGCATCGCTCCTGACCAATTGACGAGTTTCATAAGGCGTAAGGTTCCGCCTCCCAGCTTCCTGACCAACGGGTGAGCTCCGTCTTGCTCGGAGTCTCGCCCCTCGCCGATTGGAGCAATGGGTATCCTCCGTTCGGCGCAGAGCCCGCCCCCGCCGCACGCCGGGCTGCGGGCCGCAGGGCTCGTTCCGGGAGGCGGGCGCTGCGGAGGCCAGTGTGGTCGGCTCTCGG